CACATTCTATGTGATATGCTAAGGGTCGGGACATTTTTGACTCATCTCTAAGCAGTTGACCAATCACTGTCAGAGTATGTTTCTTTCCCTGCCTGCTGCCACTCTGTAATGTTCCACTGAAATTGTACTTGTAATAGGTACTTCCCTTAAAGTGTAATGAATGTCAGCATTATGTTAAATTATTACTAAACTAGACGTGCGATAGCTCACTAGCCGCAGTGGAACCTCATTAAATATTTTTGTTTTGCTTCTCATTCAGGTCAAGGCGAGGAGGATGAGCAGAAGTCTTCTCTAACAATTTCCTCCTCTTCTCTCTCATGTGGGATCACCAGGTCATTTTACACTGCTTGGGAAGAGTTTATTGTGCCACAAGAGTTGTCCTTTCAGATATCATCAACCATTATTAATGTATGAGCTAAATGTCCAGGAGCCGAAACCACATGATTTGAACCTCTAAACCTGAGAAAATGTCTGGATGTTGTATTCACAACAAGCTATAAGGACGTTGTATTCTTTACTTTTGTCTCAAATGTATCAGGAAACTTGTCGACTTGTGAACATTGTAAGAAGAGGTGTCACTTTTTGGTTCAGTTCTATTTTATACATGACTCATCACTTTGCCAGTGGTTTAAATACAGACTCTCTTGTCCTTAGAGACACTTAACTCCAGACTGTCTGATGTATTCAGTCGTTCGTCAGACTCATTAGTCGTGTTTCTGCCTCTTGTTCATCAGTCAGTGGCACGTGGATCAGTTTTCAGCTGGAATACATTAATGGTTATCTAAAAATCTATAGTGGTCAGCAGAGGTGTGGACTCAAGTCACATGACTTGGACTCGAGTCACCAATTTGATGACTTTGGACTTGACTTGACAAAATCACAAAACACTTGCGACTCGACTTGAACACCAATGACTCGGGACTTGACTTGGACTCGAGCCTTCTGACTTGAGGTGACTTGATAATTTAATTCAGAGGTCTCCAACACGTCGATCCCGAGCTGCCGCTAGAAGAGCAGACTCCCGTCGGGGAGAGCAGAATCTTCAGCCGCACCTACTCTTGTTGGGGAATCCATGCAGGCAGGGGCGGGTCTTCATTTTGCTGGGCCACCATGCGGCCAATCATATGCGAGGACACACTAGGATCATACCATTATGTGAAAGAAGGTAGGGGGGCAGACGCTCCAAAGACAGCAGGTGTAGTGGTACAGGCCAGCTACACAGAGCGACGGGGAGACGGGGAGCCGGATTTAAATGCTAACGCGTCGGAAAAGTCAAGAAATTAGCGAAAGCCGAAAAAAGAAGCAGCGTCTGGCTGCATTTCAATGATATTGGAGAAAGCAAAGCTGAGTGCAGGATTTGTAAAATGAAAATAATCTTCAGAGCAGGTTTTTTTTGGTAACCACTCAGGATTTATTGTCAGAGGTGGGAGAAGTTCAGATCTTGTTCTTGAGTAAAAGTATCAGAGTGTAGGAATTAGGGATGTCCCGATCTCATTTTTTAGCTTCCAATCTGATTCCGATATTTTCATATAGGTTCCGATCCCGATATTTCCCGATACCGGTTTTCCGATATCACTTTTTGTGTTGGCAAACAGCATTTAATTTCGTATACATTAAGAAATAGACAGGCACCCAAGCTGTGCTCAATAGCTTTTATTCTCTCACTATCACAAATAAGAGCATTTTTTTTGCAATAATAATTTAAAAAAAACTAGTGCTAGTGGCTAAGCTGACGTGAGTTAGCTGACAACAAGCTAGGCTAACTTTTCTGCTAGCCTGTTGACGTGGTTGCCGTCTAAAAGACACGTTATCTAGACATCATTTTAAATAAATCCAGGGCACACGTAATTATAATTGGGAATAGGGAACATTTAATATACATCCAGTATATCATGTCAAAATCATCAAATGGAAGTTTACCCCATGACCATTCATTAAAATATGCTGTTGACGGAATTAGCATGAACTTTACTGACGTGGGTAATGCGTAGCTAAACATCAGTGGTCAATAACAAGAAGGCTTACCTTCTTCATGTTGGCGGCGTTGTCCCTCATAACAACATGCACCTTGTCATTATCGATGTCCCACTTGGCGAGCATCTCTTCTATAGCATTCCGGATACGCATTGAAGTGTGAGAGCCACGCAGCTCACTTGCATGTAGCACCACGTTGTGCAAAGTAAAACTGGAGTCTATCCAGTGGGCGGTCAGACTGAGGAGCGACATCGGGGCTACACCTGAACTCCACAGGTCTGTGGTGAGGGCGATTGAGGTAGCCTCCTTTAGGTGCCGCTGCACTTGTTCACGCACCTTGGTGTGCAGGGCTGGGATGCCTTTTTCAACAATGTAATGGCGGGATGGCATCCCATAGCGCGGCTCCAAATAATTTATTAGACGACAAAAACCGGAGTTTTCCACAAGTGAAATTGGCTGGTCGTCCCCTGCTATGCACTCCACAATCAGCTCAGTAATCTTGCGAAATCTCTCGGAGTCTCGAGGAAGTAAAGCCTTTCGTTTCAAGCTGTCCCGCAGTGTTTGTTGATGGAGTCCATCAGTCGCAGACGCTGTCGCTTTACAGTAGGCGGCGTGTTCGTCGGGGGTGGTGCTTTTTAAGATTGTTTTATTAGGTTTGTGGTGTTGTAGGAGACCCTGTTAGCACCACCTCGTGAGACTTCCACTCCACAGACTTTGCATGTCGCAGTCGGCGACTCACTTGTAGTTATTTAAAATGATGCCAAACTGCAGACATTTTAACTAGCTAACGATATGTGTCCGTTCCACTTTTCCAACTCGATAATGGCGGCTGATGCAATAGAACAACAACGACAAACAACGTAACAACGTAACAATGGAATCATGGGAAATATTAACTATGGGTCGGCCATGACATTTAATTGGATCTAGCCGATCCCGATCCACCTTAAAACACAGTATCGGGGGCCGATCCGATCCGGGGATCGGGATCGGGACATCTCTAGTAGGAATACTCGGTTACAATAAAAAATCCTGCATTCAAAATGTTACAATTAAAAGTACAAAAGTATTAGCATCAAAATATACTTAAAGGACCACCTGCAGAGGGATGTAGATTCAGGTGTTCTTTTCCCCATAGAGCCCGCCTCGCTGCACATTATCCCTTGCATAAAGATAGATTGTGGGTCCTTTATAACATGTTGTACACAGTGGAAATAAACATTCTGGTCACCTCAACATCAGGGATCTTACATATTAAACTCCTTCTGAATCAAACCGTCACAGTAGCCTTACCTTACTGATCCCTCTCAAATAGAAAAAAACAGAAAATGGATTATTATTAATGTGACTAATAAAGAGCAGTTTGATTCTTAAGTATTATTCTGTTGATCGATGTCATTACATTTGGTGAAAAGCACATAATAGCTTAAGACTCGGTTTTTCAAAGTTTAGGACTTGACTTGAACTTGCCCATCCTGACTTGAGACTTGACTTGGACATGAGCACAAAGACATGAGACTTACTTGTGACTTGCAAAACAATGACTTGGTCCCACCTCTGGTGGTCAGTAAGGAACACAATAGCTTGGAGGCTATATCTCACATGTGAGGAAAAACCAAACATGTTAACAGTAACATTTGTATTTAAATAAATTGATGAGGCACATCAACGATAATAAATAGTAAAATCAATATTAACAGTTTTTGGATGATCAAAAAAACGCAGGTTAAACATAAAATAAGTAATTAGAACCAATAAATATTAGGTGGTGACAATTAAAAAAAAGTACGGCTACCTGAGTTTCATTAAGCTCAACTAGGCGATTCCTTTTTCAAGATAAAGTTGGTAAACCAAACCGACAGTATAAAGCAAATCAATTAAATAAAAACACTCAATTTGATGTGAAATAATTATTGATGCATTGATACAAAAGATAGAGTTTTGCTAAACTGTGCCGATGAACGAAACAAACTTAAACTAGCCAATTCCTTTTTCGTGATAAAGTTTTAAAAACTAAACTTTCAAATGTAAAGCAAACAAATCAAGTCAGAACAAACAAAAACACATTAAGGATCCAAAACGAGGTGTAATAAATACTTTATTTTGAAAGTTATTACCAGGAAACCAGTAGGGTAGGCAGAAATGTACTTTAGGGTGGTTCTGTAAAAAATAGGGTGGGCCAGATTTTTCTTCTGGCATCAGAAGCTAACAACAATCCCCGCCGGTACCGGTGGCAGATTACTTTTAGAATACTTTCTTTTCCATAACAGATGGGTATGTTTTGGTGAACAGGAGACACGTATTTTACTGTTTAAATGGCTTATCAAGAACTCAAACACAACATCTTGGTGTCATTCTGAACAGCTCTCTTATCTGCACCCACATAAAAAACATCACCCGGACTGCATTCTTTGTACTGTCTTAAAACCTTTCCTTGGAATATGTTATGAATTGTAAGGTGTCCTTGGTGCTTTGAAAGGCGCCCCTAAATAGAATGAATTATCATTATTATTTATTATTATCTGAAACGATATAATAACTTTTTAAACTGTTTCCAGTCACTTGCCCCATGCATTCAGCAGCAGCAGGCCATTCACTTTGATTTTATCCCGTTATAAATGTCATCATTTTGACAATAAAGAAATGCTACATAAACGTTATCTTGCACATTTTATCTAACCATCTCCGTTTCTAACTTTCAATATAGTTTAAAAGAGATCTCTCTCTAATCTGCGTGCGGGGGCGGGGCCTCACAGACGCGCTGCATCTCTCTCGCTCACAGACATGCTGCAGCGCCGTGCAGTGCACACAGTTCTGCCGGTAATGAATATTACATTTTCCACCAATAATTCCAATAAGTATTCCAAAATGTATTCACTTCAGGTTTACGAAAGTAACTGTAATCAGATTACTCGTTTTTCAAATGTAACGCCAGCTGAATACACTTGATTTTTGTATTCTGATTACGTAACGCCGCTACATGTATTCCGTTACAACCGTGTATATCTCTCCGGACTGTCCACCAGCAGATGAAAAACACCCACCTCTCCGCCTCTTCCAAGGGACGAGGGAACCGTGCGGCAGAGTTTCCGTTACGACGTGGGATGAGATGGAATTTAGAGTTTGGCGAAAAGTGCAACTCGACTGAATGCTGCAGGACTACATTTCAGAAGAAAATAACTCAAACCAACCTGTGTGAGCATTTGTATGGTTTGAGAAAATGACTGCAGTGCCTTCCCAAAATAATGGAATCATTTATTATTAAAAAAACACAAGATCAACTCCGATGGATCCCCGAGGCTGACCGAGGAGTCCAGACCCTCTAAACTGGACCCCACAAAGGTGAGTTGGAAAATGACATCATAAATCAGCCTAATTAAGGGTAATTAATAACTGCAGATCATTATTAAATCTTATTTGTGTATTTTTCTGTCCGCATTTAATCACACGAGTGCTCCCCGCAGGCACACACCTGTTGTTAGGATCATGACCTGTGGGTGACCGCTCAGAGGAACACCATGTTAATATCTGCAGCAGTGAAGGTGTATGTGCGAGGAATACGGTTTAAAATAAGTCTCATTAATATTTTACTTTTACTTTTTGAAACATCGAGTGATCCATGTTTGATAAAGTTCTGTAATTGGATATGGAACGCTGCCCTGCTTGGAGATAAATCATTAAATTGTCCCTAATTTACGTTTTCAGACAAATGATCAAGATTTGAAATGTATAAAGCCACATACAATCTGAGCAGAATGTATTTTAATTGGAATACAGAAATGCACTAACGACTGTACGTGATGAGGCGAACTGTTGCATTCATTTAGTTTCCGTCACACTGATGACGAGCAGCTCACAGGAAGCGTGTGTGTGGTTGGGATCGATGTGATGTACTCGACCTGTGAATGGGCTCAGTCGCGCTCTCACTGCTGGAATGCCAGCCAGCCACCCCATCTCCATCTCCACCCTCCCGTTGCGCAGCCTCCAACGCGCGCTCCTGCTCCACACGGTGGCGCATGCTGTTGCGCAGCGCACTGTGAGCACAATCCACAGAAATACATGTGTGTCACCCGCATCCTATCTGTCATTATTGCCTCTTTCTCTCTCCATTATTTTTCTGTCATTTCGTATTTGTTTGCATGTCTCTCCTTTTCTCTCTCAGTGTCTCCTCTAGCCTCTCCCTGTGTGTTTCGTGGGGCTGAGTCTGTCATTGGGACTCACTAATGAGCTCCATTCTGCCTCTCCATAGGAATGTTTGCACTGGAGAGGAGTGAGTGAGAGAGAGAGCAAAAGGGGGCAGTCACAGAGCTGAAGGGAGGGTGGGAGCCAAGGAGTGGAGCTGGAGAAGATCGTACCTGCTGCTCTCACTGCTCAAATATTAACAACGGGGTTTGTGGGAACCGATGCCGCTGCTCTGGGACGATCCCAAAGTGAGGAGGCAGCCGGGGGTTTGTGGACACAGTGTGCCGCTGCATCTGAGAGCCTGATGGAGGAGGGGGTAACAGAGCCCGAGCCTCAGGCGGTGGAGCTCACCGGCATGCCCCCAGGAACCCCCTCGGAGGTAAACGGAGACTTACCGGGCAACCCATACCTGAGGGACGGGGCGGGGGTGATGGAGAGTCCGGTGAGGGAGCCTGCTGTGCTGCAGTATCCTGCCGAGTACAGCCAGCAGTACGGGTAAGAATCAGCATGGGAGAGACGAGAGAAAGAGACTGTTGCTGCAGCTGGAGGAGTGTGTGGAGAGGGGGACTTCAGTGGGACACTCTCTCCGTCTCAACAGCGTTTCACAGTCCTGGTTTGATGAATTGCCTTTGGCTGCGTTTCTGCTGCACAGTCCATCACACCGGAAACTCATTTAATCCTAAATTGCTGTAACAGAAGGTTCAAGCATGTCTTATTGATCCATTATTTCCCCCTTATTATTTAAATTACAAGGACAGGTGTTTTTTTGTCAAACTTGGTGTTATTTCACACACCTGCGCACCATATACGCAAGAGTGGTATTCAGCAGTTTGCTAATAAATCAATCTCAATAATGACTTGCTAGATGAAACTGCTAGGTTTTTACATTGGTGTTTTTTTAGTATCTCGTGTGTGTGTGTGTGTGTGTGTGCATGGCCTAGCATTACTATACTTGTGGGGACCTAAATCTGTTTACACAGTCACGTGTGGGGACTCGCCTCCCTTATGGGGACAAATTGGAGGTCCCCATGAGGGGAATAATTCATTTTAGGGTGAAGACTTGGTTAGGTTTAGGTTAGGGTTAGGGTAAGGGTTAGGCATGTGTTGGTTATAGTTAAGGTTAGGATAAGTCTCCAGGAAATGCATGTAAGTCAATGTAATGTCCCCTGAAGTGATGTGTGTGTGTGTGTGTGTGTGTGTGTGTGTGTGTGTGTGTGTGTGTGTGTGTGTGTGTGTGTGTGTGTGTGTGTGTGTGTGTGTGTGTGTGTGTGTGTGTGTGTGTGTGTGTGTGTGTGTGTGTGTGTGTGTGTGTGTGTGTGTGTGTGTGTGTGTGGTGTGTGTGTGTGTGTGTGTGTGTGTGTGTGTGTGTTGTGTGTGTGTGGTGTGTGGTGTGTGTGTTTGTGTTGTGTGTGTTTGTGGTGTGTGTGTTTTGTGTTTGTGTGTGTGTTTGTGTGTGCTGCAGCGACAAACAGTATTGACTAAGGATCCCCGAGTTTACACAGATCCTCACGAGTGGACAGAGACATCCTCTGCCTCACTACGTGATAACATCGCCAGGTGTCAATACAATCCCAGAATGACCATAACACCTGCCTTCTGACTTAATGTAAAGTTTATAGGTTGGACAAAAGATAATCTTCTTGTCTGGGTTTTAACTATGCCCTCATTTTCTGACCTGGCCATTTTGGCAGATTGTGCATTATTTAACTCAAGAAAACATGTTTGTGTTTCTCTCTGTGGAACCTCTTAAAGAATTATTCTAATGTGGCCACACTTGAATCTGTGATGTCATGGCATGTATTTGTCTTTTTAGGCAAACATGGAGAGTGTATTTTCATTGTATAGTATATTTGCGATTATAGTCCGATTTATTTTTTGTAGAGGATGAGTTCTGAAGTCTCCCAGGCCCTGGGGTCTACTTGGTGGGTGTTTTCTTTTATATTGTCACTGTCCAGGCACCTCTTCTAACCTATAACACTCATGCTCAGGAGATGTTACCAAAGATGTTCAGGCTAGTTTTCATCACCTGCTGCAGTGTCTTTCTGTCCTGGGCCGTGCACATCCCATTCCAGTTCCTATTGTTTCCAGTGTAGAAGCCTTTTACTCTATGTAAGATTTAAGAACAAGAAGCAGGGAAAAGTTGTCATGCATCCTTAAGAAATACAGCTTATTGGAGATATGTGATTGCCATGTTACCGTTTAGTTTTTTTATATGTTTTTGCACTCACATCCATACCATTAAAGAAAGCTCACCTTTCTCTTGGTTTAATAGTCCTGCGTGTTTTCCTTCTGATGCAAAGTTACAGCATGCCAATTTGCCAGTGTACCTTGAACGGGGCATATCGTCCTACTTGTAAATGGTGGTATTTAAGTCAGGGCTGGTGCGTTTTCTCAACATATATTTGTGTCACTGTCACGGAAGTCTTTAAATGATGGCCCCTTTAATTGGGAAGTGCAACATGTTAGAATTGTAGTGCTTAGACCAGGGGTCTGCAACCTTTTTGACCAAAAGAGCCATTTTGCTCCTTTTTCCAAAAAATGTTTTTGTCTGGAGCCGCAAAACATATTTTCATAGTTTTTTTATTGTTATATCAGACAACAACTACAGTTTTTTTGCATTTATTAGGCTATTTATTACATGATATAAAACTGTTAACCTCTAATAAGAAACAAAGAACTCTTATAAGGAGAATTAAAAATAATACACAGGCCTACTTTAAAATAAATTAAACCCAGCACTTGGGGAATCCTCTGCACATTTGAAGGGAAAGAAAATATTATTAAAATGGGCCCACTTTGAAATAAATAAAACATATAGCTGCACCCTAAAAAGAGTTAAATAAGAATGGAGAAACCAGCTCGAGTGCGCTAGAATTTGAAAGTACACAACCGGAAAAAATATGCCTCTTCCTTCAGACTTTCTTACAGAGCCCCTCCTCCAACACACACGAACATGACCAATGAGGGCACGAGATAAGTTTGTGCACAGATGGAAGGCTGACAGGCAGGTAGGCCATCCAGTTACTTTAGCCGGGCCGGCTCAGATGATTGGTCGTGCTTTTTACAGCGCTACGGCTTCCAGAGATTAATTTGTGTATGTATTTATTGTCAAAGCATTTAATATATTCATTGTTATCGGGACGTTAAGAGCATTCCATGGAATATAACAAAAAGTGTTTTCTGAAATAAATTACATACCCCATTGAATTATGACTGAAGATCGTCAGCTGGCTTCCTCTCCCGTGTTGTTCCTCGATACGTAAAGGCTGCACCACCGTTGACAACTTCTCTCCCAGTGGCGAGCCGTGACTTTTATACCTAGGCCCTCTGACCCCCCTTCCCTCGAAAAAAAAGAAAGACATATTACGTCACAGCGTATATTTCAGCGGAATATCAAAACAGCGGCCCGGAGAGCAAAACGCATCAATGACAGCAACCCTCTACCACACAAAACAACACCATTTATATAAACACCGATCATGACAGGGCTCCCACAGCCAAGTTACAATTACAAATGAATTAAGTCGGCGCGGCGGCCCACATTGAAATTACTCAGGCCTACCTTTGATGATCAGTCAAAGTCCATCCTCCTGTCCTTTTGGATGAAGCACTTGATGGCGGGGTCATGCAGCTGATCCTTTGCCACTCCAGTTTATCATTGGAACTCAATCTTGAAAATGACTCGGTTAATAATTTCGCAACGATGTAATCACTATCACTGAAGTGAGCCATCATGAACGAACTTATGCTAATTATAAATCTATCGATCATAAATCTGTCATTTAAAAGATTTATGATTCGAAAATAATAAAAGTAGGGTAGACATGTGGATATTATCCGGCTGAACAAAACGTGCATTTATCTAACAGGTTCGTTTTCCACAGACCTTATTTCGAGCTATTTTCCAAAATCCTATGGAGAAATCACATTGCTTTACTGTTGAGGGAATCCGAGCGAAGCTTACTTCCGGGTTTTAGGACGCGTCACTGCACCACTTGCATAGACCTCACAGCGGGCGGAACTTGTCATAAAGTCCGCGAAAATAAAGCCCGCCCATTTAGAGGGAAGATATGATTGGTCAATTGATGTCATTTGACATTACTCTCTCGTTGAGTTACTATAGCTGGCCCTCTGTGAATGTAGAGAGGGACCAACAAGCTCTCCCGCCTTCACATAACTCGCAGAGACGGCATTTAACCCTTCACATTCCAACAGAAACTGAACAGGCAGATTCGAAGGATTTATTTCTTTGGAAATATTATTTTTAAATACAATTAAATCAAGTTATTTTGGTAAAACTAATGAAAAATGTAACAACAACAAAATATTAAAAAAAATGTTTTTTTTTTAATGTTTTCAAATATTATTTTTTAGAATATCTTAGGCCCTCACAGAGGGCCTAGAGGGCCCTGACGGCTCGCCACTGTTCTCTCTACATATCAAACATACCGGTAAACCAGCATCGTTTGCTGTGAAAGTATATAACTCTGTCCACACAGAATTAAATCCTGTGTTCCTCCGGTACTTTTCTTTGATTTATCCATAGTTCGCTCATCGAGCCGGGGTTCAGGTTATTCGCCTCCAAGAAAGGCGCTCGCGCGGGACCGTAGCAGGATGTGACGCATTTTTTAGTTGACCTAATTAAAACCGTTTTGTTTTTTATTTATGTGTCACAGTATCACCTCAAAATACGAAACATTTTCAACCATGCAACAAAATATAAATAGTCCTATAAATACTTTTATTTTATTTCCTTCTTATTTTTGTCTAAGCTCAAGGGAGCCAGAGCAGAGGGCTTAAAGGGCCCATGGGCCGCGGGTTGCCGACCCCTGGCTTAGACTATTAATCAATTATTTATTTGACAGATAATTTATCTACAACAATAGTTTTATTGATTAGGTCATTTATCAAGCAAACATAGGAAACACGTTCTGTCTCCAGGATCTTTAGTTTCGGTTTTGTACCTAGGCCAATGAAATATAATTGTTGTGGCTCAAGTGGTTTGAAGACATTAAGGATTCCCAAAGCTTTGGATTTATCAGTATTTTCACTTGATGAAGTGCCTTTCTGTTTCAAAGGGTCCGGATCGTTTAACCACAGCTCTGTGTGTCCTACTGATCTATTATGGTATTATAGTTTCCAGAAATGAATAGGAATGAGTTCATCATGCCTTTTCCACCTGTTCTGTACTGTGGACATGCATGATTTAAATGTCAACATGTAAACTGCTCTTGCTTTAAGGTCAAAGTGTTGTGATTAGTCATGGCTTCTTTGTGTTATCCTTGAAGTTTCAGTACATGTAGTGCTTTCTCTGTAAGGAATGCACTCAACGTTAGTAAAAGTGGTTTTATTTATGTGTCTGCTGTAATTGGGTTCAGTTCTGCAGTGACCTTGTTTTAACAGCAGTGGAAAGACTTAAAAACACTATAATGATGCAGTAATAGTTTGTTTACCGTCAGGCTACCTTGAAATAGTGCTATTGTGGGAGTCCGGAA